TTGTGTTTTAGAGTGGGGATTGATATGCCAACAATTGAAGTGAGATATGATCATCTTAACATTAGTGCAGAAGCCTACAGTGCTAGCAGGGCTCTGCCTACTTTTCTCAATTTCAACCTCAATCTTGTTGAGGTGAAAACACAAACATTTAACAAACAAATTAAATATATATATTACTAGTAATAATAATAATAAAATTATGAAAAAAGGGTCCCGTTACGGATCCGTAACTATTCCTTCTAGGTTTGTAACAGTTAGATCAACTATTCACGACGGTTACATGATGATCTAACGGTTACAAATCCAAACGGAATGATTCTGTAACGGGACAATAGCATTTCCAATATATATATATATGCTTTAATTCTATTTTTTGGTGTGCAGGGAATATTGAACAATCTGCATATACTTCCAAGCAGAAAAAAGCCATTCACAATCCTAAAGAATGTGAGTGGGATCATAAAACCCTGCAGGATGACTCTGCTCTTAGGCCCTCCGAGCTCTGGCAAAACTACCCTTTTGTTAGCTCTTGCCGGGAAGCTCGATCACACGCTTAAAGTAAATAATTACACGAAAGTAAATTGTCCATTTTCATAACTATCATTGAGTCTTAGTTAATCGATGATACTAATAAAAATTTCAATAGGTTTCGGGTAATGTGACGTATAATGGACACGGAATGCAAGAGTTTGTACCCCAACGAACCGCGACGTACATTAGCCAACACGATCTGCATATCGGCGAAATGACTGTCAGAGAAACTTTAGCATTTTCTGCTAGATGCCAGGGTGTTGGCTCTCGATACGGTTCGTGTATTATGATAAGATCTTCTTTCGAATTTTTCGAATTTTGGTTCGGCCAATAATTTCAAAGTTTCTTGAGTTTTTTATATTTATTTATTTATTTATTTTGGGGGGAAATCAATTGAAACAGAAATGCTGGCAGAGCTGTCAAGGAGAGAGAAAGCCGCAAACATCAAACCAGATTCTGATATTGATATATTCATGAAGGTAAAACTAAATAAATGCATAATAATAAAATATATTAGCATTCATGTTCATATATTGTATTGGTCAATGCACACTATTTGCCGGCAAATGCAGGCGGTGGCCACTGAAGGAGACGACGCGAATGTCGTCACAGATTACGTCCTTAAAGTTTTGGGCCTTGATATTTGTGCCGACACTTTGGTCGGAGATGAGAACATAAGGGGAATCTCCGGCGGGCAGAAAAAGCGTGTCACAACTGGTAAAAAAAAACGAAAACAAAGATAGCTAGATACTGAATGTTTTTATTATTATTATTTTTTAATCTAAATTGAAATAAAAACACAGGAGAAATGATTGTTGGGCCAGCAAAAGCACTCTTCATGGATGAGATATCCACGAGGCTCGATAGCTCGACTACTTACCAAATAGTGAACATTTTGAGACAACAAGTCCACATAATGAAGGGCACTGCTTTCATCTCCCTCTTGCAGCCGGCACCCGAGACGTACGACCTGTTTGACGACATAGTCCTCTTGTCCGATGGACAGATCGTCTATCAGGGCCCTCGTGAACAAGTGCTCAATTTTTTCGAGTCAATGGGCTTCAAATGCCCACAAAGAAAAGGAGTGGCTGATTTCCTACAAGAAGTAAGCTAGCCAAGAAAAGGGAGGGAGGCAGAGTATTTTAAAAATACAAGTCATTTACTAATATAATTAACCTTTACTTGTTTCTAATGAAAAAAATATTACAGGTGACGTCAAAGAAAGACCAGGCGCAATACTGGGCACGTAAAAACGAGCCTTACAGATTCATTTCAGTTAGCGAATTTGCAGAGGCCTTTCAGTCGTCTCCCGTCGGCCGAACGCTCGGGGACGAGCTGGCGACTCCATTTGATAAGAAGAAAAGCCATCCAGCCGCTTTGACAACGAAAAAGTTCGGCTTGGGGAAAAGGGAACTCCTCAAGGCATGCACTGAAAGAGAAATCTTGTTGATGAAGAGAAACTCGTTCGTCTTCATCTTCAAGATCTTCCAGGTTAGTGCAAATTCATTGGCTTTCAATCTTTTTATGCTTGAGAATATAGTATGTAAAATTGGTAAAAGTATAAAATAATTTATTTTCCCATTCAGATTACTATGGTGTCCCTTATTGCAATGTCGGTCTTCTTTCGAACGGAGATGAAAAAAGACACGGTAGGAGATGGTGGCATATATACGGGAGCTCTATTTTTCGCAGTTATTATGATTATGTTCAACGGTATGTCAGAGCTAGCGATGACAATTTATAAACTTCCGGTATTTTACAAGCAACGGGACATGTTCTTCTTCCCCGCATGGGCTTACGGTCTCCCGTCGTGGCTGTTGAAAATACCCGTCACATTCATTGAGGTTGCCATATGGACATCCCTCACTTATTACACCATAGGATTAGATCCTAACATAACAAGGTAAGTGCGGACAGAACTTACAAATCAACATTTTTCATTAAGTCCTTTACGCTGCATTGCAAGCTCGGCTAATCTCATTGAAAATTGAAGGTTTGCAAAGCATTATCTGCTGCTTTTATTCGTTAGCCAATCGGCTTTATCATTGTTCCGCTTTATTGGGGCGGCTGGGAGGAACATGGTCATTGCAAACACGTTCGGCTTGTTTGCTCTCCTGTTGCTGTTTGCGTTAGGTGGCTTTGTACTGTCAAGAAGTAAGATATATGATGGGCGAGCATTAGTTATATACATTTTTTCATGAGAAAAACAAAAAGTAAAAAGTTGGATGTGCATTTATGTTCTGTTCTTGGTTGTGGCAGACGATGTGAAGGGATGGTGGATATGGGGCTACTGGTCCTCATCTTTGATGTATGCTCAGAATGCGATTCTTGCAAACGAGTTTACAGCGCACAGCTGGAGCAAAGTACCATTGTCATTTCATTAATCAAAACATCCTTTACTATTTTCTTTGGCATCGTACATGCGCCCAACTAGTTTGTGTCATTTTTGTTTTGCAGTTAGTAAACGGGACCAAGTTGGGGACCCTCACGATGGTGTCTCGTGGGTTTTTCCCTGAAGCATACTGGTATTGGCTAGGGCTTGGGGCCGTGGTTGGATTTATATTCCTATACAACATCCTTTTCATCATTTCTCTTGCATTTCTCGACCGTGAGTTGTTTTTTTTTTAACTACCATGTAGCCGTTTATTAACCGTTTCAATGAACACTAATAAGTAAACAAAATTGTGCAGCTTATGAGAAGAAGCCTCAGGCCGTACTACCGCAAGAAAATGAAGAGGAGCCTGAGAGGGGCAGTTCAGTGTCGTCCCGACATTCGGATACCATCGAGCCAGTTGAGAATAAAAAAAGGGGAATGATACTTCCATTTGAGCCACACTCGATCACGTTCGATGACATCAGGTACTCGGTTGACATGCCGGCCGAAATGAAAGCCCAAGGAGCCACTGAGGACAAATTGGAACTTCTCAAGGGCGTGAGTGGGGCTTTCAGGCCCGGAGTTCTTACAGCATTGATGGGTGTGAGTGGGGCTGGGAAGACAACCCTGATGGACGTGTTAGCCGGGAGAAAAACCGGAGGATATATTGACGGGAACATCACTATATCTGGATACCCAAAGAACCAAGCCACATTTGCTCGGATTTCAGGTTACTGTGAGCAAAATGACATCCACTCACCAAATGTCACCGTGTATGAGTCGCTTGTATACTCAGCCTGGTTGAGGTTGTCGCGTGATATTGATGCGCAGACTAGAAAGGTATTATATGAATTGGGGTTATTTGATTTAATTTTTTTTTTTTTTTTTTCATGATATTGTGAAATAATTAAGTTTTATGTTTATGATTGAAGGTGTTTGTTGAAGAAGTGATGGAACTTGTGGAGCTCACCCCATTGAGGGGAGCGCTAGTCGGGTTACTGGGGGTGAATGGGCTCTCGACCGAGCAGAGAAAGAGGCTCACGATAGCGGTCGAGCTCGTGGCCAATCCATCCATCATATTCATGGACGAGCCGACATCGGGGCTCGATGCTAGAGCTGCTGCTATAGTTATGAGGACTGTTAGGAACACGGTGGACACGGGGAGAACTGTCGTGTGCACCATTCACCAGCCGAGCATTGACATATTCGAAGCGTTTGATGAGGTATATTCCTTAAAAAAAATGGACTATGAAATTTCTTGTGGTGATTTTCGTTTTGCTATCGGCCGACATGATTTTTGGCAGTTGTTTCTGATGAAACGTGGAGGACAAGAGATATATGTGGGGCCATTGGGTCGACACTCGACCCATTTGATCAACTACTTTGAAGAAATCGAAGGAGTGCAGAAGATTAAGGATGGCTACAATCCGGCTACATGGATGCTGGAAGTTACTACTTCGGCACAAGAGCAACTCTTGGGCGTGGACTTCGCCGAACACTACAAGAAATCGGAGTTATACATGTGAGTCTAGTGCCATAATAACGAACTGTATGTTATCTATAACAAGTCTTTCTTTATTAGACTTAATAGCTTGGACTAACTGAATTTTTTTTACAGGAGAAACAAATCTCTTATCAAAGAATTATGCGTCCCGCGCCCTGGCACAAAAGATCTTTATTTCCCAACCCAATATTCACAGTCTTTTCTCACTCAATGCACTGCTTGCCTGTGGAAACAACACTGGTCATACTGGCGCAATCCGCCTTACACGGCAGTCAGATTCTTGTTCACAACCTTTATAGCCCTTATCTTTGGGACAATGTTTTGGAATCTTGGCTCAAAATGGTATGTTGATGGAGCTCTTATTTTTGTTCATTATCGAATACTTTTAGTCAGTAGCAACTTTGATGAGCATATAAATTTTGTAGGAATACGCGACAAGATCTCTTTAATGCCATGGGTTCTATGTATGCCGCCATCAACTTCTTAGGTTTCCAATATGGCTCCACAGTACAGCCAGTTGTGGCCATCGAAAGAACGGTCTTTTACAGAGAAAAAGCAGCAGGGATGTATTCGGCTTTACCATACGCATTCTCACAGGTGACTAATTCTTGAAATTTCGAAAACCCATTCGAAGTTTGTGATGTTACTCGACTACATTTTTCATTTTTTTTTCCCCTTTTGCAGTTCCTCATTGAGATCCCGTACGTGTTTGTTCAATCCATTGTGTACGGTGTGATTGTCTACTCCATGATGGGGTTCGATTGGACGGCCGAAAAGTTCTTCTGGTTCATATATATCTTGTTCACGTCATTACTATACTTTGTCCTCTATGGCATGATGACTGTGGCCGTAACCCCTAACCACAATGTTGCTGCCATTATCTCGTCTTTCTTTTACGGTCTATGGAATTTGTTCTCGGGATTTATCATTCCACGACCAGTAAGTTCTTGCCGATACATTAATATATCAATCTTGAACATCAGCAATTACATCAAATTAGCATCAACTAATATATATATTTTCTTTCTTTATTTGTTTTGTCGAAATAATTGATGATGATGATGACGACGACGACGAAGACGACAGAGGATCCCTGTTTAGTGGAGATGGTACTACTGGGCAACCCCAATGGCATACACGCTGTACGGTTTCATTATTACACAATTTGGAGAAATTAAGGATGTGATGGAGACAGGTGAGACAGTTGAAGATTTCTTGAGGAACTACTTTGGGTTCAGGCACGATATGCTCGGGTTAGTTGCTGGCGTGCTCCTCGGATTCGTTGTTTTGTTCACTTTCGTCTTTGCGTTCTCCATCAAGACATTCAACTTCCAGAGGAGATGAAGAACAAACATTAAGAGGTTTTCTGGTATGTGAAGGTTGTTAGTACAGTGCTCTGTTGTTACCCTTGAAATGAGTAATTCATGCAATGTACCTTTTCAGATTCTGTTAGTTAGTTTACCTTTAGTTAATCAACAACTGAGGTGTTCTTTAAACAAATAATAATAATATTACAATGGAAGTCTGACTTGCAAAATCAATTAAACAAGAAACAACAAAACTCTTTGGGTGAATGAGCTCTAAGCCAACCATTCAACCAAAGTAAAAATAAATGTCAGCTGGAACACAAAAACCGGTCCTCCAACGGACCAACAGGAACCGCATAAGGCGAGCTCCAATCGGCATCGAATATTTCTTGAAGCTGAGACACAATGACAGCGTTGTACGTCCCAAAGCTAATGCCAGCTGTCGTGTAAAAGTAGTCCCACATCAGATTGCTCGTCCCAACGTGGGCCCTCACGTCGCTCACGGCATACTTTCCATGGTTGACCCTCGTGTAGCCTGGATACACATTTGCAGTGGCCGTACCGTTAAGGACAGCTGGACCAGTCGAGTTGAATCCTGGGACAACATAATACTTTATCTCCATTTTCCCACGGCATTTGTTGTAACTAGACGACGAGCATAGGTTGTTGGTGTAGAGGAGAGATTTTAGGTATTGGTCCGTGTTGTTGATAAAATGGGCCCAGTATGCTACGAGCAGCTTAACTTTTGCGTGTTTGCTGTAAACAACCTACAAACACAAGAAAACAACAGAATGATTCGATGTTTGAGGTAATGGCCGAAGAATATACTCAACTAAGAAGGTAGCTAACAATGAAAGTTATATAAACTCTGTCTACCACTTTGCCCCGAGGGTTTTCTAAAAAAATTGAGCAAAGAGGTTTCAAAGATACCAGGCGACCAAGTTCAAGTGAACAGCCCCGAGCAAATCTTCGTTAGAGCCGTTGTAGCCAAAAAAAAGAAGATGTCGACAAATATTTCACAATTAAAGCCCCCTCCGTTCCAGTATATTATAGATAGGCAGAGTAATTATTCGTAAATGTTTCGAAAAAAACCGAGGGATGCAATTGTTTTAATATAGCGTGACGTCAGCATTTCCAGTTCTCTGTGTTTTTTTTTTATTATTATTATTAAAAAGAAGTTGCAAACTAAGAAACAAAAAACTATGGTACATATACCTCGGATATAGCTGAAGACAAGGATGACCAATAGACAGTTTCTGACGAGTATTGCGACTGGCCAAGCCAATCCATCGTGCTTATTCTAACAGTTGCTCCATTTCCTACAGATTTAATTGTATCCACCCAGGCTTGTTCGTCGGTCTGATGTTTTCCAAACAATAGCTGTCGAAAAAGAAAATGCAACAGCATGAATGCAAGAAATGTGCCAAGAAATAAATATTTGGCTAATAAAAATTGATAGATACCAACAAAGTAATCTTGTGAGAAAGGTAATAGTCAAACAACTTACTCAAACGCGGTTTGAGTAAATGACAGAAGTAAGTCTAAAGCTTATATTTTGACCAATTTATTTAAACCGGTCTTTAATTGATTAATAGATGTACCTTCAATTTGCAAGACAGAGAATAAAAAGTTAAGCTTTCAAATCAGTTAAGTCAAAGAGACTAAGAAAAACACTTATCTGTACCTATATCGTGAACTCATTTATCATCATACCATGTTTTGTGATAGAGTTGAGGGTGAAAGCAAATGAAAATAATAGATAATTGACATTGTTAATTAAGAAAATAACTTAAAACAACTCGGGACGAATCCCGCCCAGCCTAAGTCTGACAATTCGCGAAGAGGCTTCCCGCCTAAGCTTAAAGCCGACAATCCTATTCGACAAAAGATAACCCTAATTGCATGATTGGTATATTGGAATGAAATTTGATAAGAATGAAATGAGTTGAAGAATGGAATGAGAATGGGAAAAGAATGAAACAAGTTTTTCTATTGATATGTTTGGTATACAAAAGTAATAAGACATGAATAGAATGACATTGGCTGCGTTTGTTTAATGGCTTTTTGCCATGAAAACAGCTTTTTTAACTGTTTAGTTGTTTGACCATTTACAATCAGCTTAAAACATGTTTGGTAAACAACTTTTAGAATTAGCTTTTTTGGCTCAATCCTCTGATTTGGAAAAAACTGCTTTTACCAGCGTTTCAAGATAAAAATTCAAAAGTCTTAATTGCCCTTATGTATTATTATTTTATGAGGACATAGATGACAACACACTCTTCAATACTTTCACAATTTCATTAAGTCGTGTGTAATTAGAGTTGTGCACTACTATAGCTATACTTTTTAAGTTAAACTATAGCAATAAAATATATATCACATTTTTCATATTTTAAAAATATAAATAATATTTAGTTTTTCAAAATTGTCATTAGTGTAACATAAACAAAAATATTTAAGTATATAAATGTGATTCCTTCGTATAATACTTAACAACTAATTTTGCCAATTATTTTTCTAAAATTTTAGACATATATAATTTTAGTTACTTAAATATAAATGGGAACTTTTAAAAATCGTTAATTTAAATTTAGTTACCTATAGATGTAAATTTTAGTTACTTAGATTTTTCTCTTTTTTTTTCAATTATAATGGGAGTTATTGCAAATGCTCACATTTGATTATTTTTTTTTAAAAAAATATTGATGTGTTGTTATTAGCTTTGTTTATATCAAGTTAATTTATTTGCTCAATTTTAAATATTTTTATCTTATTATTTTTTATTTTCTTATTATTTTTTATATCACTTAAATAAATATCTAAAATATTAATTATTTGTATAATCTAAAATAACTATAAATTCAACATAAGAATGATAAATTATATTGATGTCCTTATAAGTAATTTTACAGGTTAGCAGCTAATTAAAAATAGCTAATTTCACCAAACACTTTCTTACAAACCGCTAACACAATCATCTAGTCAAAACAGCTAACGCAATCCGCTGTTCAAAACAGCTAATGCAATCGGCTAACAGCTATCAGCTAACCGCTGATTGCCAAACAAGGCCAGTATCATTTTATATTATCATTTATCACTATTTTATAGAACAAAATAATATTTATATTAATGTTTTTTTATTCATGATAATAATCAAATGTTTTTGTTTCTTAATAAAAATATACTAAGTATATAATATATCTAATTAAATTATGAACACTAAATAAAAATATTTTTTAAAATTTTTTATTTGATTTTTTTTAAATTTAGTTAATATAACTTAATAATGATTTATAGTATATATTATATATATATATATATATTTTTTATTAGTATTTGTTAATTTATTTATTTTTTATTTTTTATTTTTTATTTTTTAAAAAATTGGTTCCTACAAATATAGGAATAAGAAAACCTTAATGACTAATCCCATGGAGACGGGTTTTGCAATTCCTTTACAAAAATATACTAATCATGCGATAAGAAATGAGTAAGGGAATGATAATTTCATTTTCATGTCATTTCTTCATAGCAATCATGCCATAAGTATTAACAAACAATCTATTCAAATAGAGCCCAAACTCTAAATATAACCCTAATGGATATTCTATGCAAATAGGCCCAAAAGCCCAATAATTGAAATAAATGAAACAACAATCTATCTCTAACAGTTTGATACGTCAACCTTGATATCATGCAGCATAAACAAATCTTTGAGAAAAAATAGCAAGTAAAAAAGTAACATATATAATTAATTAAAATACTAAAAAAAGAAGTTGATAGAGGCCACCTCTGGAGGAGCGAAAGAAAGATAGCTTGAATAAGGCTGTGATCCTGAATAGTTTTGTCCGGGAGTGTCCATAGTAATACGAAACATATCAGGATCAGAGAGCACCGGGTAACCAATCACATGTTCAATCTCCACATATTTAGGAATAGGTGATCTGTCAACATCATAACTCGGCTTAAATAAATTTAAATCTAATCATCCAGCATCATAATTTTCTTATGACTACTACCAAGTTCTTATGATTTGCTATAACAATTTGATCCATTCAAAGCTCGCATAACCCACAACTTAAAAATGAAAACCGGATATACACTATTTGGTAACAGCCCTTACCTGCACCTTTCTTCTCGATGGATAAAATGTGACCAACATGGAACCTTCCGGAAGGTTTGCCATTGTTGGTCCCACACTGATTTTGTATACATCGAGGAGTTAAGATGGGCTAGTTTCCACAGGTTGTCAAAATATATCTCGACCTCCCTTGCTATTCTTGGGCAGCCCGCAAGATAAATCCCAACTTCCTTCACCTAAAAGTACTCGAAAAAAACCAGAATGAACTCGCATACAGCCAGGGTTATTATACTTTCCGAGTTCAACCCACTCATAAACAAAACCACTATATAGTAACTTGATGGGAATGAACCACATAGGCAAAAAAAAAAAAAAATTGCAAATACCAATTTTACTTATTTAATGGTTTTTCACAGAATAGCACAATTCGGGCCTGAAAACCCAAACGAAACAAGGGAGAGCAATACTTAGTTCCACCTTTCACAAAGCTGTCCACGGGAAAAGAACAATTGAGGCCCACGGTACTAATTATAGTACCTGCGTTAAAGATTTCCAATCATTGTTTGCAGACCCAATGTACACATCTCGGCTGTCAGATATCCAAACCTTGGCATGTACGATACCAGACCCCCACCACTCCTTAAGAAGTAATGTCACATTTTTCACATTCGGCCTTCCTAATGCGAGGGTGGATGGCTCTTCAGTATAATCGGGATAGACTCCCGAGTGCTGTAAGAATCTGATCTGTAATTAGTTTCTACGAAATTAAGGATTGTATTCATTGTGGCACCAAAAACACAGGAAGAAACACTAAGCAAACGATAAGCAATATTTTCCGAACATCTTTTTGTGGAAAGAAAATGATGCTTTAATTCTATTTATTTGGAGACCGATAATTAGGAAACATTTTAGTTGTGTTACTCCAATTGAGAAATTATTCACCCAATATATAGTTTGTAAGCACTCCACAAACAAGCTTTTATAGTACATTATTATCTAGGTCGTGGTCCAAACCGAACATATACGAACAATGTTGATGAGCTCAACCGATTGCATTTTACCATGATTTTAATATGTACAGAACATTAACCCCATAAACATAGGAATATGTTACCGACTTGCAACAAAATATGTTGACAATTGATATCGACCACCGAGCGAATACTGTCGAACCACAATTCATCCCTTCAGCAATAACAATACCATAATGTACATACCTTATACTAATACCTCGATCCGCTGCATTCTCTAAAGCTCGATAAACTTCATATCCATCATTGGCCCCAAATTTGTGCATATCATCTTTCGAATACCCATAATCCCCTGAACGGGGATCCTCTGGATGTGCCACTAATTGCCAGTACTGTGCGATTATGTCTAGGTTCCGTGAAGAATTTCCGGCCAGCCACCGGAAAACATCGGCTGGATAAATCACATGAAAAAAAAACAAAAAGGAAGTAAAATTAACAATGTTTTAACCAAGATTCATGTCTGAAAGGGCACAAATAATGTGTTTACCAGTTGCAAGAACGCCGGGAACGAGAGAGAGGTGAGGCGTGTCAGTAGGAATTGATTGAACAAGCCAAGCTCTGCACTGCCCATCATCATCGGATGACGAAAGAACTACGGAATTAGGGAAATAGACAGAGGAAAAACAGAGGGTTAGCGATAAAGCGAGCAAGGAACTTCTCATATTTCGTTTAGATTTCCCAGTCGGAGATTCGAGTTTACTTTTGTTGTAAAAAAGGTCGAGATTCTGCGTCAAAATAGTCTCTTTTTTTTTTT